TTTTGAAGAAGAAAGTTATGGGAAAGAGGTTCAAGAACTTTCCAGCCTAGGAAAAATCCACCTTAACTTCCAGGCACAAGAGGATATGAGGGAACTTGGCTAGTAAAGTTAGCTCTTAGCTAAAGAGTTTATTTTACTAATAAATACTAAATCTGAATTTCCTCCTCATCCTCTCCTAGTATTTCCTTCAGTAATGTCAACTGTGAAACAAATTGCTCTCACATCAACTCCAGGATAAATGTTTAAATATATTTTTCTTGATTTGAACACAAAATTACACAATCATAAGCCATATGTTTCACTATACCAGAAGTTCATTTCTCATTTTAAAAATCAGAATTCTATTGTATTTCGTTCTAAGAAAGACCTTCGAGAATGACACCAATTCATCTTCTCACAAAACTGCATTGTTAAAACAAAACTCTACCCAGTGATACCTAAAATTCTATTAGCACTTCATTCAAATAGTGAAATAGTCTTTATAAGTGTCTTGTAATATTGAAATCTCCTGGGAGATGTAATGAGGGGAAATAGAAGTGTGGGAAAAATAAAGGAAGAGAACTAGTGGAAAACAGCAAATCACATTTTGCCTAGGGATGGCCCAGATACTGCATTTAATAATACGTTTTATCAATAGTTGTCAAGAACCAACTAGAGGGACAGAGAAAGATGGTGGAATAGGAGGCTATACCTTGTGTACTCCCTGCAGGAACACCAAATTGTAACCACTATCTGCATACAGAAAAGCATCATCATGAGAACCGAAAATCAGGTGAGCAATCACAGTGCCTGGTTTTAACTTCATATTGTTGAAACAGGCATTCAAGAGGTCAGACAGAGACAGTCTTAAATCACAGATGCCACCCCTCCCCCATCCCTTGGCAGCAACTGTGCAGCCCAGAGAGTCCATACACTTGGGAGAAGAAGAGGGCAGTGACTGGAAAACTTCACATTGAACTCAGTGCTACCCTGTCATAGCAGAGAGCAAAGCCGTGCTAGGCTCAGCCAGTGCCCACTCACATAGGGAGCATTTGGACCAGACCTAGCTAGAGGGGATTCACCCATTCCAGGGTGGAGAACTTGAGTCTCTCAGCAACCCACACTACTACAGGCCAAAGTGCCCTGGGGTCCCAGGTAAACCTGAAGGGAAGCCTAGGATACAAAGACTGCAATTCCTAGGCAACTCCTAGGAAATTAAACAATATGCACATAAATGAACAGTGGATCAAAAAAGAAATTAAAAAGGAAACTGGAAAATTTTATGAAAGAAATGATAATGGAAACACAACATACCAAAATCTATGGGATACAGAAAAAACGGTACTAATATCAAAATTTATAGCTGTTAATGCCTACATTAAAAAGAACAACTTCAAATAAAAAACCTAATGATGCAATGCATCGTAAAGAACTATAAAAACAATGCAACAGAACAGAACCCTCAGAAACAATACCACACATCTACAGCCATTTGATCTTTGACAAACCTGACAAAAACAAGAAATGGGGAAAGGATTCCCTATTTAATAAATGGTGCTGGGAAAAGTGGCTAGCCATAAGTAGAAAGCTG